AAGTGATTGATCACCTTAGAGATGCCTTAATCCTTTATGCTCTAAATGAATAAACAAACCGTAGGCTCTACATAGGCATTAGGCAACATGATTCACAAGGAATATGTTGGGATATCAATCCAAGTCCCACATCGGAAGATTAGACAAGAATAGTCTAATATATAAGTAATGTCCAACTCTAATTAGTATGAGGCCTTTTGGGAAGGAGCCCAAAAATAGATCCGTGCGGGCTTTGCCTACGGGGTTAAAGCGGACAATATCATACTAATGGGGGAGTTGGAAATAGGGTTGAAAAAGCCACAAAAATTGGTATCAGAGCAAAGTTCGGAAAAGGTGGACCAGAAAAGAAGAAGTGGGTGTGGACTAAGTTCGTTGTTGGGGAAGAGCCCTCAAGGTAACCTCGCAAGTAAGGGTGCTAAGATGGATGCCAAGTTACACTAGAGGTGAAAACCATGAGTTTATGTGGTACTTGGTTCGAAGGGGAGATTGTTGGGATATCAATCGAAATCCCACATTTGAATATTTGACAAGAATGGTCTAATATATACGTAATGTCCAACTCTAATTAGTATGAGACCTTTTGAGAAGGAGCCCAAAGACAAATCCGTGCGGGCTTTGCCTATGGACCTAAAGCGGACAATATCATACTAATAATGGAATGGAGAAGGGGTTGAAAAAGCCACAAAGAATCTTATATAAAATATTATACAAATTTTTTAGGTGACTAAAAAAATATTTAAGTTATATTTCAGGATCTAATCATTTGACTTGAATTGATTTGCTTCTTCTTCTTCTTTTTATCAGGAACGTAAAAATGACTCATTTATTTTATATCACGTCCATTAAAACATCTAAATGATTTATGGATTATGATATCTTTTCTAATGATGTAGGGTGATAGGATCAGTTTTAAAAGACAAATAAAGAATCACCGGACGATGATTATGTCGGCGAATGGGTCACCGGATAAGCTGAAGAAATGTTTATACACAATTAATATTGGAAGCAATGATTATCTCAACAATTATTTCATGCCAGCTCCGTACATTACCAATCGCAAGTTTACTTACGATCAATATGCTGATTCCCTCATTCGACGCTATCGCTCTCATTTGAAGGTAAGACTATATATGCCTAAGTTCTTTTCTAAAGTAAATAATAAAGGAATCATAGAATTTTAAAATTGATCAGTATAGCTTGATGAATGACATTTTCTAATATATTCACATTACTTTTTTGTTTTTCTTTTTTGCTAAACTAATTCACGTTACTTCTTTAGGTCTTTTTAATGTAGTACCCATATATAAAGATTTGCGTTGGAAACAAAGACTATATCTTTAAAGATACATTTTTTTTGTATAGTCATTGTATGTCCTAGGAGCAAGAAAGGTGGCGGTGTTTGGGGTCAGTAAGCTCGGATGCACGCCACGGATGATAGCCTCCCATGGAGGCGGTCAAGGCTGCGCCGCTGAGGTAAACAAAGCGGTTGAACCTTTCAACAAGAACCTCAGGGCTCTCGTCAATGAGTTCAATACAAACTTCGCCGATGCTAAGTTCACCTTCGTCGATATGTTCTCCGGCCAAACTCCTCTAGCGTATGCTGCCTTAGGTAAGTAATTATAGATATCTAACTCACTACATTTTTGTGACCCAAGAAGTAATTTATTCTTTGTGCCGGATTAATTAAAAACACATGTTAATGGTCAAATAATTGTTTTGGGGTGGAAAATAATACAATAACATATTTATCACATACAAATTTATAATGATTTGAGAAATTAGATCATATATTTTATCCTAGTAGTAGAATTGCAATAAATTTATTTTTCAGAAATTCTATTTTTCGACTAATTGTTCTTATAAATCTAAGGGTTTTCAACAAATAAACCATTCAAGTGGTTTGGA